ATAATTTTTTATCAATTAATTTTAATATCATATAACCATAGAAATTAAACTCAGAATTAGGGTCTATGATCGTAACCAATATTCACCATAGCCCATATTCTAGCAGATAGTATACGTATTTCTTCTTTTTTAAAATAATGAAAATAAATACGTAGCGTATATTATTATATCGTTTTAATAATGAATCGAGTACAATATTGTGTAATACTTAGGTGGCTAGGTACACAATAACATTATACTGTTGGTAACATTATTACGAGTTTGTTCTTCGTTTGCTCCGCATTTATCATATTATACATAAATAGGTGGAGAGATGTTCACTGCTCTCTCATAAAATAAATTTTGTTTATTATTCACTCAACGTTTTCGCGTCTGATGTTAACCGAAATTTGGCCACAGAAATGAATAACAAGTGGCGTAAATAATAATGTGTACGAGTGAAAAGTCGCACACATAAATAATAACAGAAAATAAAATGATAGATACCCTGCTGCACAATTTCATTATTATATACTTAACGATAATAAAAAGCGGAGTGTTATTTTAACTGCAGCCTCTGCGACCTCTTCGTTCCATCATATACTCGACCGCTCATATTATTATATATATATCATACGCTATTATATACGATTCGTGTGTGATTATTCAATGAATGAGCACAAACATGAGCGTTTGGCGATCGTTATTATCGAATAGCACCCGAAAACATTGTTGTAGTTAACGATGCCAAACATTTGCTTTCGACCGGCATATGGGTTGTGTATAATAGGGGTTTTAGGTTTTTTTCACGTGCGTGCGCGTGTGTGAACACATATTGAACGTGAAAAAGGACTTGGCCGAACGCCAAGGGACATAATTATTAATTAAACGCCACTTGACCGAAAAACACATTTAACGGCGAGTGATAAACTAATATATATATTTTATGTTTCGTATTAATATAACTGCACTGCCGAGAAACCGTTTACGCGTTTGCTCGAGTCGCGTAGGTATAAGTTATATGCTCACGTCCACCGTACGAGACAATGATACATATTATAATAATAGTGCTTCTATAACGATAGTATTTCGTAAGCAACACTTCGGCTGAAAGTTTATTTTTGTATTTTTATTATGTAACTCCCGCGTTAAGTATGTAAACGAATAAAATGGAGCTCGGCGCCTCGCTTGTCGCTTGCATAAAATATATTGTATTATTAGGCACCATATAACTACATAGAATTATATTCGAGCGCATTAACATCGCGTTTATTGCATTTTTTTTAACAATGGAAACTTATACAGAGGAGTTCTCGGTAATTTTCATTTGGTTGAGGGGAGGTTTAGTCATTTTTTTTTGAAGATCCATAAGAATACTGCGGGAGAGAGGAGGAGGGTTAGATCATGATAATCAAAATAATAATACATATATTTTCAATATAGGAGTATAATATGTATTTGTTTTCGTAAGTTATTATTTAAATTTAAAGTACAAATAAGTCAATTACCATTCACCCTGAGCACGCCTTTGGTAAATTACACAATATGCATAGGTATCAATTGAATTGATAGGTTAGTTGATATGTCTTAGCGTTTAAATTGAATATAGTTTGTAACCTAGCTACTTTCAGCACTTAGTATTTTTTTTACATTGGGTAAATACTATGCAGCATATTGTAAAACTGTACTATCTTCATATGTATCGTAAATCATAATAATTTTTATGTTGCCTGGTTGAATGGAAATCGTATATATTAATTAATGGACCGGATTAAACCATAATAAACCGATTCTTGGTCACTAATTGATGTCTAAAAGGGTCTGTTAAATATTTAAAGATCCGTGTTGATTTCTATGTAACGGAAGTCTGCGGAACCCAGAAAAACATAAGTGTTTTTTTCGTATATATATATTTTAATGAGCGTCGTCAGAACAGCGTCACACACACAGCTATTCGTTTGCTGACGATCGTTTGCAGACGATTATTATTATTAAATTATAATGTACGTACCTACACATTTTACATCGTTACATATATTTTTTACGTGTGTTAGTTTACCAAAAATGTCTGGCTTTATCTGAATTAAGCATAATAGAGTATACGGCGTTGATGTTTCTTTGATTTAAGCCCTCCACACCATGTGTAATTTTGTCACAAGCCCAAAACCAATAAAATGTATTTGCTCAAATATATATATAGGTATGAATATTTAAAAACCAGCCCGGCATAGACAAACCGTTCATATATATGAGCCGAATAGTTTAACCACAAATAGAAAAAACATTTTTCTTTTTTAATTTACCATATTGAAATATATACATAGACGCAATAATAACATAGCTTAAAAAAATACAAAATACGTCTTGTTATGCACTTATTACACACATATAATTGTACAAAACTTTATACTAACCATTTATTTCCAAATAAGCGTTTTACTACATTAACAAGTATATTAACAAAATTTTAAAATCATATTATTCGTTAAATAAATATAATTTATTTTATTTGTTTGGTTATTTATGATATTATGTAAAGTACGTCGATTTAAAGTATAATATGTTTACCCACAATAATCAGTAGCCCAAATTAAATATACGTACCCTGCAGCAGAGCAACGACGTAGGTGTTAACCGTTTGAGGTACCACATTCCCCCCAATTAGGGCCATTATGTCAAGCAGGTAATATAAATTTGAAATAATGTAGTATATTATTATGATTGAATCTATTGACATATTGTGCCATTTGTGCCTATGCGGTCGAACTGTGTTATAGTGTTACTGTTGATAACACTTACCAAATTTTCTGACAGTAAAAATTGAAATCTGAATGGCCCCTATAAAATATGATTGCATTTACACAATTTCCCGTGGTTATGCGTATACTTTTTGCTAAAGTACGAAAAGAAAAATAACAGCAGAGGTTGGAAGTAGCGCACTACACTTTTTAGTTTTTTTTTTAAGCAATGTTATAATAATGTTATAACTTTGTACTTTCTTGTTTCGGTAGTATATATAGCGTTTAGCAAGAGCTATACAACAGTTTAAAAATAGATATTTGTTACAAACCTTTATACTTTCTAACTAAAAAAATATCTCAAATTTATTCTAAGTTAAAACAAATACGATTCGTTCCAGATTTATTTAAAAATGTTTACACAACGTAATACATAATACATAACAAAATACCATACACACATGGACTATAATATATTGTACTATTTTAATATTACTTCCATGCGCAGTGCTTCAAAAAGTACATTTCTGTGACTTGTGGACACTGTCAGATTAAACTGTTTTGCTTGAAATTATTTCCTTTTTACCCAACTTCTATAAATGTATTATTTTATTTACTTCGAATGTCCGCTGTACTTCGTGAAAGTAACTTAAGGTCTCAGACATAATTCCAGCAATACACCCACAGAATTATTCCATTGGATACCATTCGCCATTATAAGCACCGAGTTTACCTCGTTAAAAATCCACAAATACCTCTGTTTATGAACAAAAAATGTAGGTGCATCACAAAACCAAGAAGGGGGCAGTAGTATGGAAAACACCGGGCTCCATTATAACAATGAAAGTGCTCTATTTTTACAGCAGAATAGGTCGTGACACCATAAAAGCTATACGTCTAATTCAAAAACTACATCTTTCAAATACAACCATATATTCTCTGCAAACTATCGGCGCTTTAATTAAATAAACATAAGATCAAAAACATAATATGCGTGTATCCTTCAGATATTTATGTTATACAAGCACAACATCGTATATGCAACGCATATATAAATAAAGAATTAAAATAAATCTATGCTGGGTACCAGCTGCAGGTCATTGCGGCATCGGGGGAAATGAGAAAAAATCGATCCATCAGCAAAAAGCGTAATATAGCGTCACCTTTAACATCACAAATTTCAATACTATCCACAAAATCAACATATATACTCCATAATAACATCGAAGTACAACTCTCAACTCCAAGTGGCAAGTTAATTGAAACTCCCCACACAAAACATCTAAATTAAATAAAACAAGACGCAACACAATGGACACGTCCCCAAGAGATTCCAGGGAAACTCGAAGTAGTAATAATCAGGTTACGTACGGCCATCTCCCACACGGCAGCTTTGGTATTGAAAACATATAGTATTATAACTGCATACTGTTCTTAAAAATAAAATATAACCTCCCGGACATATTTTCAGCTGTCATCTCGTAGGTACCCTGATTCGATGCAAACAATAATAATCATTAATACATTTCATCTACAAATCAAAACTCTTTGTCTAATTATATGATACCAACTCTTAGGTACCTCTATACAACTATTAATTTATATGTCATTTTTAATCTATATACTTATTTAAGGTATTTAATTAATTATTATAAGCATAACAGTAACTCTTTAAATCCCTGCAATATAGCCATGATGTCGCAGGTCAAAATAATAATAATAATTATGCTACCTTATGTCATCGGTGGGGCTGTTTGTTCTAGACAATTTTAAGAAAAAACTCAATGATTAAAGTTAATACACATTACATATTATTTACATCTATCATTCAATAATTAAAAATGACAAAATGTATATTGTATAATTTTCAATAAATTCGTCGAATTTGTAAATAGTAAATACTAAAGGATTAAGATGTATTATAATGGTATATCGAAATTTATCAGTGTTTGCCTTTTATATGATATGATTACAGTAGAAATCGCTTATAAATTTATAATGACACCGGTTGTAGGGTTCTATGACCTTTAAAGTAAAGGACCCTATAAAATTCATAGGAACCTGAGTTTTATTTTATCGGTAGTTACGACTATTGGTTATTATGACTTATTTTCCCTGGTCCCTCGAACGACATTATAAACGATTTAAACTGTACATGTATTTTACTATGACATGATTTGTGTATTATGTATGTACAAGTGTACAACAGTATTTAAATCTGTATTTATTTATGACATTTTTTCGTATAAATAAAAACGAATGTATCGTATTTTATGATTGCAGCGGACGTAATACCCACAGCTGCAGTGATGTTGAACAACAATAACAACCACAACAACAACAACAACGGCAGTCATCTCCTACAACAGCACCATCAACAGCTTCATAGTCATTATCATCATCAGCACCAGCAGCACCAGCAGCACCAGCCGCATCACCTTCAGTCGTTGCCGATTACCACGCACAATAATATCATGACGGCTGCGGCGGCAGTGGCTACGACAACAACGGCGGCGGTGGCGGCCACGGCCACGGTCACGGCGACAGTCGCACCGCCGCCGGTGCGGAAGAAGTCACGGAAGGATGTGCCGCCTTCGTCGTCGCCGGGTCTGTTGGTGAGCTCGTCTTCCGGTTCGCCGGCCGGACAGCAGGCCGGGGAGAGCGACGGTGGACACTCGTCCGACGGTTGCGGCGACCGGAAACGGAAGAAGGCTCGGACCACGTTCACCGGTCGGCAGATATTCGAGCTGGAGAGGCAGTTCGAGCTGAAAAAGTACCTTTCTTCGTCCGAGCGATCCGAAATGGCGAAAATGTTGGGCGTCACCGAGACACAGGTAAACAAAAACAAAAAATATAACGCACCGCACGTGTAATAACAATAATTATCGCAATGATCGCAATTATTGTTATTATTTTAATTATAATTACAATAACAATTACAATTATTATGACGGGGAGCGGTTGGTAATAGTGTGCGGCCTTAAAATGACTACAACTTCCATTTAATAGTGGTGCTCGCGGTTACGGGTCACGACACTCGTCCATAAATCTTCATTACCGTCGACGCCGTCGCCGCCGCTCTCGTTATTATTGTTATTATACTCTTATTATCGTCGTCCCTGTTATATATCTTATATTATATTATATTATTATATCGGCGACGGTCGTGTGTTGTATGTTTGCTGGGGAACGTAATCGAAAACCGTTTTGTTTTCAAATAATAATAAACGATAAATAAATAACGCAATAGACGCGAGCTATTATAATATTATTTGTTAATTTTTTAATTTATTATTATTATTATTATTATTATTATTATTATTATTATGGCACTGTACGGGAGGTAGAGCTCGAGACGTAATTCGGTAACCGCGCGGCATGCGCACGACATTCCGACCGACCGATTAACTATCTATGCACCTTCAAAACAATAATTTTTTTCACACGATTTCGATTTCTCAATCGTTCTTTGTTATTATCGTCAACGTTTTATTGTTACAAGTTAAAGCGATTTTGGCATGATATGAAATACGTCTTATCACTTAATCGTATAATAATATAATATCGTCATTCTTTTTGTGTGCACTGTGATATTGTGTATACCTATATAAGTAGTTCAAACTATATATAGTGTAAACCGTTTGAAATAAATTGAACGTTAAAAAATGACTAATTGCTTGGCTCTGCGCCAATAACATTTCTTCATCGCGTTATTATCATTATGTAATAGCACGCACGAGGTTTTTGATTGAGCACAAACGGTTTGTTAGCGTGTTATTAAATTAAAATGGGTAGGTGTGCATTTGTTTCGCGTCGTTTCGTCACCGCAAAGATTATATTTTTATAATGCGTTTTAGTCCGGAAAAGCATCTGCGTTGCTGGGAAAACTGCAAAAAAATGTTATATTAAAATGTGTAACGCGATAACCACTGCAATACACAATCATTATAGATAGTATATTTAAAAGCAATCAAGTTATTTGGGACATCCACAGACTCGCGGGCAAATTTTATATTTTATCGTCGTAGGACGGCGTGCGGGTTCTTGAGAAAATTTAAGTATGCTATGTAAGAGGGGTTGTTGCTGGCCTTTGTCAAATTCGAGAGCGGTGCATGTAAGTTGTACAGAAAATAAATAAATAAAATAAAATTTAATATCATATGATGTAAATATTATGTTAAAACTCAATTTTTAAAAGCGTCACAGAGGTTTGCCTCTAATAAAGCAAATTAAATTTTCCGAACAATTGAATTATGACTATTGTTTCTAGCTGTATAGACCTGAGATAGATTTACTATACAGACGTTGGACGACGATGTAATATATGTGTATAACGCACGTATTTAATAAAATATACATAGATGATAGATATCAATATAGATCATATAATATGGTCTCATTATGATCTTGGTCTTCTTATCTGTAGACTGTAGTGTATCTATTCTGATTAAAAATGTCTTTAAAAAGATAATGTGCGTATACACGCTACACCATTGAAGAGAGAACTAACATACAACTTATCATTTTATAGGACTTTATTGACTTAAATACATTTTCGAATAAATTCTTATGACACCGTCGATTGTTGTTTATACAGTATAATAACGAAATAACAAAATATATGTACGCCCGAATAGCTCTGAGGACGGTTTTTTTTCACGTTCTCTTCCAGACGAATCGCCAGAGACAAATAAAAATATAATATCGTCAAGGAAATTTTTGCAGCGGTTTCGCTGAAAAATTAATAAATTAACGATTGAGACTAGACCGTCTGGATACTCACGGTTTGCTCGGGCTGCTCTCACATTATATATAGCTATCACATTATATACAGTTAAGTATTATCACAATATTAAACAAATATTAAATACATCTTTAATAATTATTATTGCTATTATCACACACGTCGCACACCAGAAAACCGTTTAATAAAACAATGATACGACACTCGAGTCACGTTTTTTAACGAGTTTCTTCATTCTATTTGAACGGGGATCTTTGAACGTGAATGCACGTCCTCGGTAACTTCAGTGACTATAATAAGTTTATAATAGTGCATAATATAATATTGTATTATATTCAATATTTTTCTTATATTTCTAGTGGTCGCGGTCGTGTGCTTGTCACGAGATCCCGCGGAGTTGAGCCTAATTAATAAATAAATCGGTTTCGGATGTCACGCGTATATAGGTATACTCCGCAATTTAATTTTTATTATAATTTATAATATATACATTTTATTATTCTGTATAATATTATAGATGATACCTATATTGTACGAACGACGAGTTTATTGCGTGCGCGTTCGTCGCCACACCTTTTAGTCTTCCCACCCCGTAAAAAAATCACCAGAGCCTTACCTGCGCGTATAGTTCCGGCCGCAACGCGTTTGGGTTTATTGACCTAAAATACAACACATTTACATTGATTAAAATATATGTTCAAATAGTTTAATATGTTCGATTTGGTGGTTGTCGATACCGCACAATAATATAATTATACGTTTCGGATCTGGTGCACTAGATTTATATGACTACATGCCTATATAAATGTGTATAAATTGGAATAATTATCGTTCAAAAATATACCTACCTACGCAGTTGATTTTGTTTATCGAATACGTTATCTTTAGTTAAAATTTCTAGTAATTTCAGACTTCGGCTGGGCTGTATACCTAATTGTACATGTGTTTATTCGAATAATTTAGTGGATGGCAGTATTACATATTTTAATTTACATTCATTTTAGGTTAAATTATAATGGTAGGTGAAAATGTCTTCTATTCTGGTACAATAAAGTTAAGTACTTCCATGTGGTGCGTTTAAAATTATTAAACTAAAAAAATATGTAATCATAAACATACTGAGAAAATGCCGTCTATGCCCTTGTCGCCCGTGCCTTGCGCCGGTCTTGATCCAAGCGATAGAAGTTTATATATATATATTTTTTTATACACGTTTGTTATTTTACTTATTGATGGAAATTTTATAACTTTAGTGATCACAAGTTTGCTTTTAACGAGGAAAATGTAGTTTTTGATATGAATATGGGTGCCCAAAATTAATCCAATTGTGTTTTTATTTAACTGATCAAAACGGGTACTCCCAGTTGCTTCCCATAGGTATACAACGCTTGGGTTTGGTCAAATTATAGTATATTCGTTGGAAAATAACAGTAAAGCAAGCACGTTGGCAGGGTATTATATCATAGAATATATTTCATGTTCCCATACATTTATACAATATTTGATGTGAGACAGCTTATTAGCTTTAGAACCCTGCATGAGACATCATGTAAAGAGTTTGTCATTTTATTTTCTAGCAAAAATATTTTTGCGATGTAAAGTTGTAACTTTTATTTGATGATTATTGATATTTATATTTCATAACTTTTATAATCATATTTTTATTTTTGACTTATGAATACATTCTTGTACAGTTAGACAATTTTGTGAAGCGCATAAAAAATCAAAAGTATTTTAGCCCAAACATTTATATTGGACATGAGCTGAACTATATTTTAGTCAGCAGTATTTTAGGCAACTGCAGTATTTTAGCTGACTAATATATTGGCTGACAATATTTTAGACAACATTACTTCCGCCGACAATTTTTTAGCTGACAAATATTTCAGCTGAATGTATTTTAGGTTTCTAGCAAACAAATATTTTTATTATTTTTTCGGCAGCATTATGTTCCAAAAATCTTGTAATATGTACACCGGAGTAGATTTAAGTCTATACAGCGTATAATTAGCGTGTTTCGTGTTTCTACGTCTCCGTCTATTTGTCCGCCCGTCAGTCCGTCCTACCGTCTCTTTCGGATATCGTGATGCAGCCAAACACATAAAAATATTATACGAAATTATGCGTGCATATTACGGGTATACTCGCTCGATCACCGTTCGGGCCAAAGCAAACATCACATGACGGATTTATCTTTAGATAGCCGTCGAAAGTCTGTAGCGGCTAGCATATATCTATATATGCACATTGCACACGTACATAATATACGTGTTGTTATTGTAATATTAGATACCGAGACGGTGGTTTTATTCGTTCGATGCTGCGGGAGTGATCGCGTTGACGGATTTCTTAAACGCGCGGAGATAATATGTCGGTCAAAATTAAATACGAAAAGCGCCAGTATACTGCAGGCATACACACATCTATATATACAATATAGGCCTAACCCGTAACGACCATAATTTTTTTCTCACTCACGTTTTATATCTGGGGAATAGTCCTGACTGACTGATTCGTATTGAAAAATACGGCAAAAACTATGAAATATAGCTGTAGAATAAATGCAGTGATGTACCACCATGCAAGGCGGTATAAAAGTACACTAGATACTAAAAACGTATTTTGTGAAATTTTGATTTTAAGTCTCAAAAAATGGGCAATAAAGGGGAAGAATTATACGGTATCCTGTCATTTTGTCGAAAACAATTGATCGCATGACAATTGCTCGAAAACTTTTGACCGAAATACAATTGCCCGTAAAACTAAAACTTATATTATGATTATATTATTGATATCTTATTATTTAAATAAAAAGGTCAAATAAAATTGCTAAATTAATAATTATATATTATTAATTAAATACATTAAAAAAATATGTCGCTATTCCATGTAGATAATCTAAAATAAATAGATCATTATAATCAGTGCAAATTTTTTTAATTCTCTTAGCCCTATCTTGGTTAGGTTATTTTTTCTTGTCTGTGTAAAAACCCTTTGTGGTCTAACAATCTTTTATTATTTTTACACTGGTTACACACACCAAACGCATGATGGCAAAACTTAAAACGTGTAAAAAGTATTTGAAGTAGG